GGTGAGTGACACAAAGCTCACATGTAAGGCGTAAGCAGGCTCCAGAGGGCATGAACAAGAGCGGCATTGAATACATACCGGATGATGTAAAAGGGAGGGGGTGGGGGATGGGATCTTCCTCCGTGGGTAGAACATAGAGGTGGCTACAGCCAGAGAGTCCCTGGGAGAAGACAGCATCTGAGCGGAGGCTTAAGGGATGAGCAGGAGTCGGACAGAGGGCATGGAAGTGATGGCTCTCTCCACAGAAGGCACAGCATTTGCAGAGGCACAGATGGAAGTTAACAGCAGGGAATGGTGAATGCCAGGAACTACAAGCAGTTTGGTGTTGTAGGAGTTTAAACAGGAGGATGAGAAGTGGGGGTGGGGGGAGGGAAACGTGCTAGAGCAACAGGAAGGAAGCAGATAGCAGGGAATTCCCTTGAGAAGGCCCTGGACTGCTCGTGGGGGTGGTGGAGATATCTGGCAGATGTCAAGCACTGGAGTGACACGGTCAGGTGGTGTTTGCAAAAGATCCCTCACGAAGACTGTGAGGGGAGTAAGCTTGTCAGGAGAGACCACAGTCAGGCACACAGTAAGAGTGCTTCTCAGCCAGAGAAAAGATGCTGCGACCAGGTCAGTGTAGGAAAAGAGACACAGCAATGCACACACCAAAGAGGCAGAGTTGAGCAGACCAGGCCACAGGATGTAAGTGGCAAGAAGCAGAAGAATGGTGCATGCAGTATAAATTCTCACCTGGGTAGAAAATGAGAGAAGCGGGGAAATGTTTTCTTTTTCTTTTTTTTCCTGTGAGAGGATAAATTTAATTTTCACCATGTGGGGTGAAAGGTATCTGTGGGATATACAAGTCTGAAAACCCACAGGAATAGTCTGGGGTAGAGATTATAGCTTCAAAGTCAACATAAGAGGGTGAGAAGACCCATATTACACTCTGATAGGTGAGAAAAGGAGCAAGTCAAGCAAGGACCTGGGAAACACCAATACTGAACAGGAAGACAGAAGAAGTTGTCCCAAAGACCGCAGAAAAAGCCCAAGGGCTACAGAATCAGGTATCACAGAAACCAAGAGGAGAGAAGTTCAAGTTCAAGAAGTTCAGTATTTCTCTACTGTAAATGCAGCAGAGAAAGGTCCACGATACTGAGGACCGAAAACTGTACACGTGCCATAACAATCTGGAGATCTTAAGCATGCAGACTGGTCAGACTTCTTGGTTGCAGAGAACTGAACCCACTCCAGTTCCTTTAAGCAGAGAGGTATTTCCCAGACAACCTCCAGGACGTCTCAAACTCAGGTCTGGATGTCTTTCCGCCAGCACAGCAGTGGCCTCCAAGACAAAGACCCACACTCCCCACAGACTGCCAGGGGCGGCCCCACTGCCCCCATGCACTCTGCTCAGCACCTGTGACCAGGTACAAGAACCTTCACCAGAGTTGCCCCAGATGAAGAAATGCCTCAGCTGCTGCACCCACAAGAGTCACTGTCCCCCAGAACAACCTCCAAGGATGAGCGTGCTCTGTGCCACCTAGTCAACGAGCTTGATTGTCTAAGAGCTCACTGCCCGTTATCTACATCTCTCACAAATGACACTTCTGCGCATCATAAAATGAAGATGGAGTCCAAAAACGCAAGAATAATCTTTATTCCTTAGAAACACATTTGTAAAAATATATCAATAAGATTAAAAGACTCAGAACACATTTATTTCTATGCAGCATATACACTGAGGAGCAGAGCATCTATTAAGGTGGAGCACACCTGTAAACAAGTACCTTGGGGGCTTATAGGTCACCAACTTCACTTGGCAGGGTGTGCGGCTGAATCCCTCCTTCTGGATACATTTTTGAGTAACCAAGAATATCTATCTATCTCTCCAGTTCTAGCATACATTTTAAAAGGAGGCCTAAAATGGGCCAAATGATGATTACCTATATAAAAAAGGTGTCAGAATTGATTTCACAAAAACACTAAAGAAAAATATCTCAGTCCCATCTATGAAAAGAAAAAGGCTTGACTCATGGTTTGAAATGGGAGGGGGGGAATAAATACTGTGGGATGAATTCTACCCTAAAAGACAACAGGTTGATTTCCGGTTCTGCACGAAAATTGTGCAACGCCCCTCTCCTCTCCTATGCTACAGGACACTTTGGCACGACTTCATGAAAATCTCATATGCTTTGATTTGAGCCATAAACCCATTTCAGATTGCATGTCGCTGTTTAAAAGAGTAAAGTCTAAGCTAAAAACCAAACCTCAAATTCTACAAATTCTGACAGCGTATATTCATAATCACATCTTCTGACATCACCAAGTTAGCAGCACCAATTGTGAAGACATTAAGAAATTATTCTTGAATTCGAGCAGCAAATTCTATCAAAATGGATGCTATGCAATTTATGATTAGTAAAATCGCTAAACATCAAAGTGCTAAACTGCTTTAAGATCTGAAATTTAAAGTCTCCCAGTATGTACATAACAGTTATAGACTTTATTTAGCTTCTGAAAATGGTCAGCCTGTGTTAGAGAAGGGGAGAGGGCGGTTTTTCCGTGAGAAATTTAGTTCAAATGAGAGGTTTCTGGCCTGAAAATATTAAATTTTAACAAATCACAGAATTTTAGAGTAGGAAAAGACCTTGGTGATCATTTAGTCCAACCTACTCTGTCCAGGTGGGAATACGAGGTTGCCCGAAGGGACAGGGTTGTGTAAGGTCATGCCCAGCAGTGCAGGGGCTGGATTCCAGCTGTGTCAGTCCACAAGGCACTGCGTGGAACGATCCACCTAGTAGCTCTCCAAGTTGTTTTGGTTTTATTTGGTCCCATTCGTTAAATAACAAAGAAATGTCAGGAACAGAGCAAAAGGGTACACACAGACTTTAACTCCAATTTTAAAATCAGAATATGAAAATGATTCCTGAGCCTTTAACTACCTTCATTTTATTAAGGATGCACTCAACAGTCAATTATGAATAGCTGCTGTGGTTATTTTCAAATATTTACATGGACACTGAAAATACCTTCAGAACTAGTCCTCACAGACACCTTTACACGCACATCCATGCGATGTCAAGACACTTTTCATGGAATGTAAGGAAACTATAGTGGTGAATGGAAGTGAGATGCTTCAGTCTCTCAAAGTGCAGTCATGAGTTTATCTCGGTACATTATACCATGCACGCCTCCTAAGTTCTTCTGGTTCTGGTCGTGGACATAATCGAAATGGCCGTCCTCTCCACTGGCCGACGCTTTCCAATGTGGCCTGTCATCCTGAAAGGATGGCCTGTTTTGTTTGTAGAGTGAATGGTTAGTGGGGGGAATGGAAGAAAATGCAGAAATGTGAGTGAAACAACACAGCGCAAAGGCAATGGGATGGGGAAACCATGAGCTGCGTGCCCAGGGATGCTCACAAATGGAAACACGTGCCTTTTCTACTTAAAAGTATTTTTGACATTCAGTTGCCATCATCTATGCAGTTCCAAGTCGAGAGCAGTCCTATCTTAAGGAGTGGCTGGTGTTCAAGTCAGTGTGGGGAAGTAGGGTGGAGGTAAAAGGGCTCTGTTACCGGGGGCCCCTCAGGGTAGCACATGTGAATGCCAAAGGTAGCATTTGCCGAGGTCCGGGGCTCTCTGGATGGTGCTTCCCTAACTCTAGAGAGCCTGGTGAAAAACTGTGCTGTCCCCGAGGATTCTGGTCAGTAGGTCTGGGGTGGGGCTGAGAATCAGCATTAACAGCACCAGGTGGTATACAGGCTGCCAGGTGGGAACACTGTTCCAGTCTTCCTCAGAATCCCCTAGGAAAGGCTGGGTCATGCCTCAGAAAGAACTAATATGACAAAATACGCAGGAAGAAGTGTAAACTTTTGTAAAAAATCAGGTTGATAAAAATAGAGTCTCTGTAAACCTCTCGTTTCTTACGTCTGGAAAACTGCCTCTGCAACACAGAAACACTTAGAATTGTTACTCCACTAGACTAACTTGCTTTAAAAAGTCCAAACGATCCATTGTTTATGACAAATCTACACTACTGTTCTTCGAGATCCCCAAGAAACTGGGTAAGAACTATTGAGAACTAATTGATCTCATTTACTTTACTTGAAAGGGATTTGTTTCCATCACTCCATTCTCAAGGAGGAATGCCAGCAACCTCACCAAGAAATAACTTAATGCAAGCTGAATTCACCAACTATGTTTCTGAAAGAGCTTCACACATAAACACCAATTAAGACTGATCTAAAATTCAGATCTTAAAAGGAAATTTGCCTTTACAAAGCTAGCATTAAAAGAACTCTCTCTAAAAAAGAAAGAAAGAACTCTCAAGCCTAGCTAGGAACAGCAAGGCAAATGCCAGACTACTTAGGAAGGATTGGGGCTGGCTAGGGAAGAGATGGGTACACAGGGCCCACCATCTCTTCCTAAGTAAGTTGCACTGGCACACAGCCACGCCATGGCCATTCACTCCTGCATTGTCTGGGGCTGTTTTCTACTACAATGGCAGAGCTGAGTAGTTGTGACAGAGACTACAAAGCTGAAAATGTTGATTATCTGGCCCTTTACAGAAAAAGTTGACCAATCCCTGGGTTTGGAAAAAAGAGACTCACTGCCACAGAAAGCAAACTCCCTCTCCCCTCTGAGAAAAATCTTTTCAAAAAATCCACAACAAAAATCCCCAAGTTTTGGTCACATTTTTAGTCAATGAATTCTCAGGAGAGGATAACATTTTAAGCAACATTTCAAACACAAAATTAACCAAAAGCATCTGAGGCTACAATGACTAAAAATAAACAAACAAACAAAAAACCCAACCAAAAAAACCAATTCATTTTCATTCCACAAAGCATCCCTCTGCTAAAGCCAGTCTCATCTCTGGCTTCGTTTGCTCTGCCACTTGCTGATTTCTGCCACAACAAGGTAACTCTTAACAGTTGTTTCTAAAGCAGAATCTCCATTTACAGTTCAGTAAAATGTGGGCTTTTCTGGAGAAAGTTCAGGTCTTGGAGCTCAGGCACTTACCTTACATTTGGAGAGTGAGGATGCCACCGAGGCTGGCTGGGGTGGACAGTGGGATGATACTGAGGCTAGAAATAAAACACCAAACTCCATTATTCCATGACCTTTGGTTTCAATGGTTTTCATTCATTTACTTTCCCTTTCACTGGCCTCCACCTATGGCCAGGGGTCTGTGAAAGTGGCTGCAGACTACCCCTGGCCGGGAGGGGGAGAGAGAGGTTCCCAGGAGGATCACATTTCCCTTACAAAGGTTTGTGCAGTCGCCCTCAGAGGAAAGATGAAAGTGTCTGCCTTGAAAGGTCCCTAAGAGTACCCAGGACAGGCAGTACTCATCTGAGGGAACAGATGGAAGGTGCCAGAAAGACCAGGAGGATGGTCAGTAGTTTCTTCCGAAACAATTTCTAAAAACAACAACCCACCACCCCTGACAGTGATGTCTGCACACAGATAAAGGACTGGTCAGTGAGGCCCAGGCGGTAGCAGGGTTGTGGGTGAACTTTTTATTTTCCTCCATTGTTTAAGCAATAAAAATAATTTTCTCAAGTGTGATCCAAAACAAAATACAAACCCTCTCCTCCCCAACCCTTCTCCCCCCCCCAAAAAAAAAACACAAACCAAGCCATCCAGAGTACTATTAATCAAAATAAAGTGGAAGGAAGATGGCCTTTTTAAGATGAGAAAATAGATCCCCAGGGGTGACTCACAAAATGAGATGGGCCTGGCTGGGTAAGGGCTGTCTTTCCACTTCAGGCCTGCAGAGGGCAGCGGACCTAGACGCTGCCAGAAGCCTTGGGGCGCCTCAAGGCTAAACTTTCTACTGGGCAAATTAGGCTCTCCTGACATTTGTTAGGACAGCCTTGCCACCCATTACTCTTTTAATTATTTCCACGCTTTCCTTTCCCTCCCCTGCTGCTTACGTTAATAGGTAGGAGGCAGCTCTCTTGTTATGGAAAATTCTCAGCAATTTTGTTCATTCAGTTTCGGGAACCTGAGATGCCCTCCTTGCATATTCTGTATTCCAGTGGCCTCTCTCCTTCATAATTGTCTGTCAGCAAGCTCACTGTACAGACCCCAAAGGGACATGTTGTAGAAAAAAAGGAATCTGGAGAAAATGTCCCAGTAGCAGAATTTAGGAGATGACCTGGGGTTTTAGAATGCCCAGATGCAGTCTCTTCACATTTCTCTCTTAAAGGATACAGAAACTCAAGAGTTCAGATGATCTGCCCAAAGCTGAATTGCTGCAGATGAAAACATCAACGAGGCCCAAAATTAAGGGCCTGTTGACTGGTTTTCAACAATAGAGAATATCCCAGAATATAGTAGACCTTTCATTGTACAACTAACCTTCAGACACAACCATTTCAAGATTCAGCAGAGAAAGGTGAGAATCTTATCCATAAAGATCTAGATGAAGGAAATTTCAGAAGCGTCCTTGGTAATTTATTCACACTATAGCTACCAAGGAATATTCTAATAATGTTAACTCACATGGCTCACAACTGGGATGTAACAGTGAGCAGCTGGGGACATGCGCATTTCTGCATCCTCAATGACTGGAGGGTTACCTATGACAACTGGGCAAAGAAGAGGGAAGCTAAACGTCCTGTAACTCTAGGGATAGTCCCAAACAATGAAGAACTGTCTTCCCCAGATGCCAACAGTGTCTTCGTGGAGAACACAGCAATTCATCCTTTGCAGTTGGCTAATCTCGCTGAGCTCAGAATAACACAAAGGTGGCGATACCAGCCTCCTGGAAATCTCTCTCAGCACTCAGATGCTAATCAGGCCATTTCTTAAAATGTTCTCTTCCTAGTCAATTTACTCCCAAATCTTGAGAGTCACAAAGAAAGAACCTCTAAACTGCAGAGGACCCAGGGTTGCCTGAGTTGCCAAGAGAACAGTGTCCAGGTAACGGTTTTCACAGATATGACTTCAACACTCGCCTCAAGATTCACTCTGAGCAGAGAATGTACAGGGAGAACACACCTCAAGGCTGGCGGGGAGAGGGTGGGGGAGCGTCCAGCTAGGACTGCTTTGATGTTTTTATTTTTTCTTTCAAGCAGTAACCACCTGTCAACGACTCTCCCTTCCTCCACAACATTCCAGGCACTCAACTCAAACCTGAAAATGCCTGAAAAAACAAAACCAAAAAAATGAAAGACAAAACCAAAAAACCCCACCCACCAACCTGTAAATTAATAAGATTCAAGAAACTAGAGAAGGCAAGGAGATGAGGAGATCTGGTCTCAGGTCAAGAGCACTTTGTAAGTTTTCCGAAAACTCAGAAGTCATGGTCCAGGTTTTGCACGCTGGGAACACAGATTCCATTCCTTTCATGAATGGAAGATGCTATCACAAGATCCTTCTGAAACATAATGTGCAGACCCTGGAAAGACAGCATACAGCCCCATCTCAGGAATTACTATCTGTAGCAAAGGAGGACCAAGAGCGAGACCAACGAGAATGAGCTCCACAGTGCATGCTATGGGGGAGCTCCATTACTTGTGACACTCAAAATCAGCCAGTGATGGGGCACAGAAACCTGCAAGAGCCAAGTCCCTCATACCTTCCCAGAGCAAGTGCACTGACCCCCGGCTAGGAGGTCATCAAACACAGATGCCACTGCCAAGCACAAACAAACGCCAACAAGGCAGCGAGGGCCAGGGCACTAGGGCTCCCCCGCCTGGCTGCTCATGAGAACCACCTTAGACACGCTGACACCCAGATCCTGCCCCCACACTTTCTGATTCAATCAGTCTGGGGTGCTTCTGATTCTGATTCAGTCTGGGGTGCTTCTCAGCAGGGGTGGCCCTGCTAAAGCTCCCCAGATGGTTTCAATGTTCAGAGGGGTGAGAACCCCGGTGCCAGTGACTGCCAATGTAGAGGATCAGAGAAGGCTCTTGGGAAGAGGTGGCCTACGCGGTGGACTCTGAGGTTATTATAATGTACAGGCAGGAGGTGAAGGAGTTCCAGGCAGAAGAATACGGATGACAGAGCAGTACAAAGAAAAGCATGGGGTATCACCTGTGCAATCCTCTGAGAGTCAAACACATGATCTGTGATGAGGAGTGATGAGAAATGTCAAAAAGCAAGCTGGAGTCAAGTTGCAGAGAGCTGTGAGTAGCCAGCGAGAGCTCCACTGGGGAGGGTGGACAGGCAGGCACGGTGTGGGCCCTAGCTGGCAGCTTTGAGACAGTAGAACCTGGAAACACATCCAGGCTGCTTCTGTAGCAACAGGTCCAGCACGAGGCTTTTACAAAGGAGGTGCTACAAACCACTGCTGCACAGATGTTAACTGGGGACACCCCCTAAAAAGGGGGGAAGACTAGCTAGTTGTTGCTTTTTTTTCCAGTGGGAGGGGGGTTATCCATGATGATTTTGGGAAACACCAGATTTTCAAATATAAAATGCGTCATTCTTACAGGATTTCTCAACACGTCTGTCATTCCCATGGGCACTGTAATCCCCACAAAGGGGAATGAAGGATGCAGCACTTTCCAAACAGGTGCCTGAGGCACTCCAGCCTCTCAATGCCTCTCCAGTGCCTCATGTTCTCTGGGCTTTGACCAAAAAACTGCTTCACTTGAGTGCTCCTATGAGGTTGTGCTTGACCACCCAGAAACTTAAACATATGTCTCTGCTGCTTGCCAGCTGATAAGTAAAACAGGCAGCTCAGATGACCAAGAGGAAGCAGGAGTGGGGGTTGGGGGAATAGGGAAGGGAGATCTCCTTACTATTTACCAAAAAAAAAAAAAAAAAAATCATGTACAAACATGTAATGTAATGACTTCTTCAAAATCTGGTAATAACTGTTCAACATGGAAAACTTTATAAACTTTAAGAAGTATTACATTTATAAACTTTATGAAGTATTACATAAAAATCTTTAGACGCAGTATCTCACCTGGTAATTATGAATTTCAGGATTTGTTTTAGCACTAAGAAAAAAAAAAGAAAAGAAAAATTGTAATTGTAATATAACAGATTATTACAGATTTCTTTAGCAATCATAAACTAACTCCAAGTGTGGCTAGAAATTTTCATGAATACTACTTTTTTTTTGGTTATTAGCTGCTTAATGAATATATAACTAGGGAAACCAACGGCAAATTTCCTTCATCGATTCAGAGCTCACATATACAAATATGTCGGTAACATTGCACATTCTGGTTTCTGATGTCATGGTAGTAGCAAAAGAAAGGTGATTTCAGTCGGGCAAACCAAGAATTTCAGCTGCCACTCCAGGCCTGCACTGGAATGGCTCCGTGGCCCAAAGCACCAAGCAGCCCCAGCAGGAGGGAGGTCTCCAGCCTCCATAGGCTGGGCTGCGGTGGGCTGGCCACCGATCAGGAGTGCTGGTCCCAAGCAAGGCCCCAGACTGGGAACTGCACATCTGTTACTATTTAATCCACACATCAAGGTTCTGAGGTCAGTAAGTGTTACCACCTCGTCTTACAGATAAAGGAACAGTTGCCTAACAGAGAAGTTAGGAAACTGCAGGGAAGTAAAGAAACTGCTCAGGGTTGCCTGGGCTGCTCAGGGTTGCCCGGGTTGTCGGCAGCACCGCCAGGGCTGGGAGACCGCTACTCACCCCAAACCTACATTCTCTTCGCTAAGCCAAGCTGGCTTTCTCAGAGCCAGGGAAAAGGTTCTGGGGTCCTCATGCACAATCCTGTTTTGACTGAATCTTAAATGTATCTACTATGATAAAAACAAACATATGGTTGGAGAAGGTGGGTATAAAACACGGTGGGTTTACTACATGAGTCTGGCATTTGCCAGGAAAACCAAAACAAACACGATTGCTGGGCTGCGTTGCCAGGGTGTGTGCTTGAAATCAGATTTATTTCTTCTTCAACAAAGGGAGGGAAGCCTATCATTGTTCTCAGTCTTGCTTGGGGTCTAACTGGCCTGGTGTTCCATTTTTCAGACAGGGCCAGTGCTGAGAGCTAGGCTCCCAGCCAGGATCCCCTGGGGCAGGATTTCATCAAGAAGGTTAAATGTTCTGCAAGGTGCTATTTTTCTGGTATCACCTCTGTACCCCAGAGCACAATTTCATCCCTGCCTCCCATAGCAATCCTACTCACCCTGGGATCCCTCGGGCTGTGAACAGCAATTGAACAGCTGCGAACAGTGGTTATTAGCTCATTTGTTCCTAAAGGGTGTATTTACTGATTTCTCTCCTTTTTTTTTTTTTTTTTTTTGGTGGAGATATTTTTTTTTTTTTTTTTCAGTTTGTTTTCGTTCCCAATATATATAATCTCCACTAGACGCTAAGCAGAAAATGTAATTTTATTAGAGAAAAACAAACAAAACAATCATTTTCGTGGAGAGCAAAGGAAAAAAATGTTACAACTCACAAGCCTCTGAGAATTAAAGCAAGACCTGCTGAGCTGTTAAGAAAGGTGCAAATACTTTTAGCATGCCCTGCCTCAGGGCTCCTAGAAACATGGCAAGTCTACAGTCCTATAGCTTGCAAAACACTGCAACCTTCTCTCACCCTGGGTGGGGAGGCGGAGGGGGCAGGGGTGCTTAGCTGGGCCCTGAAGCCCCTTCATGAGATACTGAGAACAGAACCCATGACAAGTCAGATGCTTTTCCCATAGTTTGGAATTAGAAATTGAGCTTCTACTTGTGTGAAACAAGGGTTATGTTTTCTAGAACGGTGGGGTGCGGGCAGGTGTTTTGGGCTGCCTGGGACGGAAGGAGGAGAAGGAGCAGCACAGGCACTGACCCTGCCCTCCCCACTCGCCACATTCAGAGCAGCTCCACTTGGCCAGATCACTTGTTAGATCTCTAGGTCAGGTTTCTTCTGGGAGGTAAAAATCAGAGGTTTAGAGGGATACTAGTCACCTCCTTGTTTTCAAATGAGAAAAAAAGGAGGCCACAAAGGGAAAAGGTATGCCCCAGAACTGGATTAGAGAAGGCTGGGGTGAAGTGGCGACGACTCAGCCAGAGCTCAGCCCTAACCAGGACGTCAGCTCCCTGTGCCACCCCATGCCAAGTTCTGCCAAGTGCATGGCACAGCTGTGAGACTGTGCCTGGGATGTCTGGTCAGTGGCTGGAGTTTGGACACAAGAGTTGACAAAATAGCATGAGAGGTGTCTACCTAATAGGTCAAAACTCACATAAGTAAACAGCTATTGCAGTAAAATGAGAGACACGTTCAAGGTAAGACAGCGGTTCTCACCTGGTGCACACTGTGATCACCTGGGGGCCTTAAAAACTACCAATAGCTGGGCTCCACCTCAGAAATTACCCAGGGTGTGGTCTGGCTGATGGGAAGACACTGCAGAGCTCAGCAAGGGATTCCAACACACAGGAAAGTTCAAGAACACCTGTGCCCAGGAGGAGGCTGGCAAACTATATTCCTTGGTCTAAACCTGGCCCACCTGCAGTTGTGAATAAAGTTTTACGGGCACAAATCCTGCTCATTCATTTATGTACAGTTTTATGGCATTTTTCATGCTCCAAAGTCAGAGCTGAGTAGTCATGAAAAAGACAGTGCAGCCACCTGAGCCTAAAACATTTACTAAATAGCACTTCACAGAAAGGTCTCTGACTCCTGTGCTAGAGTTTCAGCTTTGTGATGAGCTTTTTTTTCCTGCAAGAATTTCAATAAAGGTGTTTAATGAAGTTCTTCTACATTGTCTGCCTATTAAACCAGCTCATCACTGAGCAAATCCAGCATTTGCTCTCGTGTGGTTTTGCTCAAGAACATGGTCTGTCTTTCCCATCACTGCCTGCAACGCTACGAGCAGGTGTGCTGCACACATTCCTATCACCTTTATCACCCCTGTTATAATAAACAAAGCACAAAGCTACTCAAACAAAGCAGCTGTGTTTTCCAAAAAAACAAACTGCCTTGGAACATTCTATTGTGTGCTTGCTGAAAGCCAAAAGGATGGTATAGCCAGGTAGCAGAAAGGAAAAAAAAAAAACAAAAAACTATCAGGTGACTCACTCTATGACTTAATTGTATTAAGGAAACAGTCAACATTGAGAGTGTAACAATTAAAGAGCCATTGCCGGAGCCCAGGGGCACTTACCAGAGCTGAGCTGCTATCACCGCGTTGCTTGCTTTAAAGGAAAAAAACAGAAGTATGACATCTTAGAGAGCGTTAGCACTTTCACCAGGAGATGCCCAGGAAAGAGATGTCTGTGATATCAGCGGAGCCCCAACCCCAGGAGGCGATCTTCACCTTGACTACTTCTCCTTTCTAGAGGAAAAGTGAATTGTTTTCCTCTGAGCCCAGCCCTCCAATTCCCTCGGCAAGCTCACTGAGAGAGTGCCCAGGGCCAGGAGCTCCAGGATGCAGCAAGGAGTGACAGAGTCTTGACACACAGACAGTGTGAAAAACAGCATCAGGTAACAAAGGCTGAAATCCAAGGATGAAACTGTGCTGGGCTCTGGGCAGACACTTCCGCCAGGGGCAGGGGTGTGCTGGGTGGAAAGGGCCATGCAAAGAGGGAGAGCTTATTTACCTAGACTCCACTTTGTTTGAAAAAGTATAGAAAAATCATTAAAAACTTCATGAAGATGCCAGAACTCTGGCTGGAAAGGATGTCAGTAATATAAAAGAGAAAGAGGATACAGACCAGGAAGAAAGTGAAAGAGAATCACAGAACCTGGAGTCTGGAAGAGCTCTAAAGCCACCCCATGGGTCAAGCCAGAGGATACCCATCCCCTTCTGTGACAGTCACACCAACGGGTCTAGAAAGACAGGGGAGAGGCAAGCATCCTAGGGTCTGGCTAAATTCAAGGGCAAGGTGTGTCTGAGCTGCTGAGTCAAGTAAGTACTAGTTCTGGAACTGCTCTCATGCAGTCTGAATTCTGGTTTTCATGAGCCCCCAATTGAAATTGCAAGATGGAAGAGAGACGAGGCTGTTTTTCTCTCTAAGACACAGTATCGTCTTCCACAGGCAAGAAGTGTTTACCTATGATATTCCTGAGGTCCCAGGTCCAAGAGCAGCAAAGAGGCACAAGAAAAGAAATGTGGAAAAGGAGCAGAATAAGCACATCCAATGGAAAAAGACTAAAGACAGCAGGATGGCAGAAGCGGTCTGATTCTCATCAAGAGAATCCCACTGGGTTTTTTCAAAAGCTTCAGGCAGACAGAGCAGAAACAGTACAAAGTTCTTCCAAAACTATTTTACCAAGTTTCATGGGCCTCAACCAACCAAACCATAATGTAAAATTCCAAGGCAGAATGAAAAAACACACCACCTTTGAAGGTCGAATGTCTCCGGGATGGATAGCGTTTGCTAGGCTTCCTCTCAAAGGTGCTGGTTCTTCTTAATCTGGAGCCATGTGTAGCCTGATATTCTGTCCGCCCACTGGAAAACAAATATTTTATTGCATGTTACCAATATCAGAGTATCAGTACATTATGTATATCCAGAAGTGAACTTTTATTTCCAAGAGCGCCAATGTAAATTTCAATCTATCTTGAACTTGTTTGGTAAAGACACACTAAATTTAGCCTCCCGTTTGGAAATAAAACCACCTTTGTGGAATCCAGGCTGTATTATAGGGGCAGATATTTCCACTTAAGGACAAAACCTGCAATTTAGGTACCAGCCACCTAGCTGCACAAACCCAGCAGGGCTGAGTACTTGGAACATTTGAATAAAAGAACATTGATTCACACATAAAATAACCTTTCATAAAACACACTGCATAGACATTAAATGCTTTTAAAAGACAGTTATCAATGACCACTTAACTAAACCTTGGCTTCCCTTACTATACCAAGGGAAGCATTACTTCTTTCACCAAGGTTTTCTTGGTTTCAACCAACTTGACACCCAGGAGGCATGTTATGTTGGTCTAAGCTATCACTGCTTCATTAATCCCTCTTGATTTATGATTTATCAGCAAAAAGGAGCCACATGCCACCTGCTCTTTGTATATCCAAGGGACAACCTCATCTCCAAACTCCCCACCTCTTTCCCCTTCTCAGAGAGCATGTCTGGGGGACTTACTCCCAGGACAGGAAAGCCTGCCTTAGCATCCACCCCATAGTCTGCCCCAGTCACTTCAACTGGAGCAGATGTCAGCAAAGTCTCTGCTAACCTTTGTAGTTCTAACATTTGAATTGATTCTTTCTCCAAAACGACTTGAATCCCACTCCCCATTTTTTTAACCTTTAAAATGTAAAAAAATACATTTAAACAAAATAATTCTTTCAACACAAATGCATAGACATTTCCCTGACAGGAGATAAATTTGAAATGAGCACATCTTTTGGCATTTTACACAAGGTTCAAGGACATGCCATGTGTGGGCTGAGGTTATGAAACTATGTGAAGTTTTTGATCTTGGCAACAGCAACTCTCCAACCTGTAAGTACACTTTAGAAATCAACCTTAGGAGAGTATTTGAAACGCACGTTCTCCGGCGTCATTCATACATGCATATGTGAGCACCCACAGATTCCAATTACAAAGGTTTTAGATGAGGTCATAGATCCTCATTTTTTAACAAGCAGCCAGGGAGGTCTCATAAACTTTGAGAGACATGGTTTGTGGACTCATAATTAAAAACAGGTCAGAATAAATTCTGGTCTTTTCAGTTTCAAATATTTGCTTAGTCAACCTTGGGTCACAGATGCACATAGTTCTTAACTGTTGTTCTTAACTGTCGTTCTTAACTGTCACCAGAGCTATGGCCATTGGTATGTGCAAACCAATGGGTCGTGGTTAGATGTAAGAGCCAGACTGCCTGCCTGGGGCTGCTCAGCTCCATTACTTACTGTCTGTGACTGCGGCACATGACCTAACCCCCTGGTCCTAGTTTCCTTATCTGCAAAATGGGATAAGAGGAGGACTTATCTTAATACATTTACTGTGAGGATTGGGAGGATTACCGGTTTGTACAGAAGTTCTAGTGGGTGTGGTTGATAGCAGCTGTCTGCATGGTGCCAAATGTCCTTGTCTCTGCACTGTCCACCGCAGTAGCCATCAGCCTTAAGTACACTGCGCACTCGACACGTGGTCAATGAGACTGAGAAACTACCTTTAAAGTATGTTTGATATTAATTAAGCTAAGAAGGCACCTAGGGCCATTGTCTACTGTATTAGCATAACTCCAGGAAAATGCCAGCTACTAATACATTTCTTATTATTAGTCCCATTTTATCAACGAGGATATGGAGGCCAGAGGATTGACTCAACTATTGGTCAGATCTTAAGAACCAACAAGAGCCAGATGTATAACTCAAGTCTCTGTGCACAAATCTAATGCTCCCTTCACCAAAACGTCTCTCCTGACCTCCTCTGAACACACCGTTGCTTCAAAAAAATGATGCTTACCTGAATCTGAAGCGAGACCCCAAGCGGATAAAGTCTGATCTGTTGGATTTGCTATTTCCCGGCGTCCGCAGTCGGAAGAACGAGTGATGCTCAACAGCGCATTTCCAGAGGTGCTTGCAGGTCCGGGCACTGTCTAACCGGAACACAAACGTGTGCTCCTGCTCTCGCCCCTGAAAGAGGAAGCACAGGGCTCGTGTTTAAATGGGTGTCTGCGATCTTGAGGGAGGACTACTCACAGCGAAGGGGGGAGACGGGAGCCAGCCCTACCTGATCATCATCCTCTACCACCACGAGTGTCAATTTGCTTTTTTTAAAATCCATTTTGGTAATTTTAGGCCTGGGCAGAGAGAAAATGTTTTAAAAGTATAATCTGCAGCAAAACTCCACACCAAACAGCATTTTCCTTTCTACTTTTTAAGCTTAGATTTGCTAAAGAAACCATCCATTTAAATGTGATTATCCAGAAGTTTGACTGCCATTGTCACACACCCACAAACACAGCAGTAATGGTGTCTTTACAATGAATCTGGGTGTTGCAAATATCCCTCAATGATCATTCATCACATATAATTCCACCACAAAAATAGGAAAAGACATTTTTAATATTAGACAAAACTAAATTACCAAAAGAATAAGCCTATTTTGTTAGCTCCTTCAAAGATTAATATGCCTGTCGGGGTCAGTCCAAGAGAATATTCACAGCCATCTCTTCCCTACAAATAAACGAAGTGACAGTCGGTAGAGGTTCTAACAGGTGTCACAATGCAAAACAGTTTCCTCACCACGTTACTTGTTCACACACCATTCACACATTTTTTTTCAGTCACAGTAAAACCCAAGCGCTTAGACGCACACAGTTCTTACCCTGACAACGTGCATGTCTACCCCATACATTTCCAGCCACTTCGCTTTATTCAGATAGGAGAGTTCCGCCTGGGCAGGGCTCTTTCCCCTTAGAAAAACCAATGGAAATACATGTAAACTGCAACTCGCACACCGCGGACTCCTGAGGGGCGGCCACGCCACGATGGCAGGCGGCCATTAAAGAGTAAGGGACACTGACTTATAGTAACATGAACAGACTATAAGAATAAACTGCGATGGACTGATCAGAGCAGTGCCTATCACATGAACACTTAAGGAAACAGCCGTTTTTGGTGCACTGATGAGCATGTGCAAAGGAAAAAGGCTGTAAGGCTAAGCCCCGAAGGCTGACAGTGGCTTCTGCAGGGAGGAGAGCACAAAGGGGGGTGTGTGTGTGTGTGTGTGTGTGTGTGCATGTGTGTGTGTGGGGAGTGGGGCAAGATGACTCTACAGTCACACATTTCTAAGCTGTTTCAATGAGACATAAGGATGCCTAAGGTCTGGCTGCATTTTCACAAAAGTCCTATGTCCTTCCAAACGACTGCAGACCATCGGAAGCCATGCTAAGTCTCTGAGTCCAGGAGGGACTTGGAAGTGTAGGGTGAAGAGGGGCAGGAAGTGAGGAAACTGGCATTGGTCCAGGCATAGACTATTAGACTTGTCAACTTCAGAAGAGGGAAACTAGGGGATACAGGACAGGGTTGGATTTAGCTGTAGTGACCACATGCCTGAAGTATCACATTGTATATACCACACATAGTTTCAAATACCAGTGTCTCTAAGAGACAAGTGGGCAGACTTCTAAAGGGTTTGTTCTAGAAGATTCAGGGAATGGGCAGAGATACAGTTGTGTGGGAAGGTGTGAAGGCAGCACGCTGGCTTTCTCTAGGGAGCCAGGACAGCAGGGGTGTCCCCGCAGCAATGGGGCACATCAGGACCAGAGTTGGTAAAGCAGAGAGAGAAACAGGAGTACAGCTGGCTCTTACTGGACATCTTGGGAAAGAGAGATGTCACGTGAGAATTGGGAAAAATAGGACTGAAGCAGGAGAGAAGTGAAGAGTTGAAGCAGCAATTTTACAGTCATCAATAGAGCAATTCAACCAGCAGATAAAAGTCTGACAAATGCTTACACAGTACAGAGTAAATACATCAGGATGCTAGAGGGTAGCATCACGGTACCTGCACTCTTTCCATCTCTGGAAGATATCAAATTCCATTGCTTCTGTCTGATTTGGAATGAACCGAAACTCAGACACAAGCTCTGGCGTGTGTTCTGGAAGCTCGCACTCCCCAAGCTCCGCTGAAAGTTTCATAAAAGGAAGGAAAATAGGAGACATTGAATGTTTTTGGTTATTGCTGCAGCCAGGTCCAAAGGCATTTTGCATGATCATAAAGCATAGGTACCCCCTGATGTACAACTCAGGAGGACTGATCTCCCACTAGGTACCCACATGAATACTCGGAACCATTCAAATGCCCTCCCCATCGGGCAATACACTGCCATCTTAGTTATTACTCTGTTTCTCCTGAAGATTTCTCCTACCCAGGGAGGTCCCATTACTTTATCCCCTGTGAAGAGGTACAGCCTGAATTTGCAATAAAAGGCAATTATAAGGAATGAGGACCAGCCCAGAAACATCCATTAACGAGGCTCTCATTAAGGGTAGGTCTGAGCAGCACTTCAGAGTCGGCAATGCTGGAGGGGACCCGTGGAGAATTCAGGACAGGCAGAATTCGGGGGCGGTGGGGGGGAGTTGGGAGGGACACAGGAAAAGCAAGAGGTCCAGGGAGGAAGTGGGGAGGGGTCTACAGGAGCAAGTGCAACAACTCAGACAGGTCTGGGAGGGAGCCAGTGGTGGAAAGGGGAGCTGCCATGTGTGGGGCCCAGGAAAAGCCCCAGAGGGGCTACCCATCCCAGGGATGGCTAATTCCCCCCCAGAATGGAGGACCTGATGACAGAGATAAGAAAATCTGCTCCTCATGCCACCCCTGCAGCTTAGGATGTAGATTCCAGAAGGAAAAGAAATGCTCTAACACAGGCACACCTCAGATACTGTGGGTTTGGTTTCTCAACACTGCAATAAAGCGAGTCACACCAAGTGTTTGTTTTCCCACTGCATGTAAAAGTTCTGTCTACCTTATACTGTAATCTATTAAGTGTGTACCAGCATTATGTCTAAAAGAAAAAAATAAAACAACGCACCTATCTTAATTAAAAATATTTTGTTGCTAAAAAAATGCTAACCAAAATTAGAGCCTTCAGTGAGTTGTAGTCTTTTTGCTGGTGTAAAAACACAGTAGCCCACAGAGTGCATCTAACCAGGTAGGCCTGCACCTGGCTACATGAAGGGGGCTCCACAGGCTACAGCATCAGCCTCACCTGCTCACAATGCAGAGTCTCAAGCTCCACCAGACCTACCCAAGCAAAACCTGCCTTTTCATAAGATGCCCGGTGATTGGTGCACACTTTACTTTGAGAAGCACTGTGGCTTTGAACTTGAGTGTATCTTGGAATCACCTGAAGGGGCTCATTACAATGCACATGGGATGGATGCCATCCCTAGAGAGTCTGATTCCATATTGAATCAGGTATGATTTTGCATTTCTAACAAGCTTCCCAATGACAATGGTGTGGTTGAACTGGGGAACATACTGTGAAACCACCACTTGGCAGACAAATCACACTGACTGAGTAGCTGACACCTGCCTGCCCACCTCCTGTGATAGCGACTCATTATCACCCTGCAGCCCTTTCCATCACCCACACCAGCCTGAATGGGGCAACAGAGTACAGCAGGCCCAGAGTCCACCACTCCAGGGAGGGCCTCCAGGGGACTTGCAGAGGATGTTTTATAACAAAGCTCAGTGGCAGGAGGACCTGAGACAGTGTCTGATGCAGAGTAAGCATCTGCTGAAGGTCTCCTCCTCTGACTGAGCCCCTCACCTGCAACTCTGAAGCAGAGGGCACCCCAGGGTAGTCTGGGTCAGGGTGTGCTGTAGCTTGGTACCTTGGGCAAAGTCACAAATGATGACTCTGCTCAGGAAATATTTATCCAGAGAAGGTGAGGGTTGGGCTCCTACAACAGGGAGGCCCCCTCTCACCTGGAACTAGGGACCTGACAAGGTTACGGAGTCCAGAATGTAGTGGCATGTCTGGACACCACAACTAACATCACCTGGCACAGGAGGAGGAAGTCAGACAATGGCAAGTTTCCCTGCTGGGTTCACGCCACGCCTCCTCACCATTACATGACTAAAATAGGCGTGAGTGAGGTCTGGTACACCTATTCTGAGGTGTGTGCCTGCCTTCCAAGAACCTCTTAGCAACACTTGACACTTCATTCAGTCTACAGACTCTGCAGCCAGGTGCAGATTCTGTAGCTATAGAAGGTGCTGGGATCCCAACTCTGTCGCAGACTACCTGTGTGACCTTGGGTAAGTCATTTGACTGCTCTGCTTCTCGGATGCCTTACCCTAGAGGGGAACTGTATAAGGATAAAAGGGCAGATAATAAATAATGTCCCCTCCTCCCTGCTTTTCTTTTTGCCTAATTTTTAAATCTATCATCAATTTAGATTCCAAACGAGTACAGCCTCCACCCAAGTAGGACCACTGCATTATGATTCTGGAGGCACCATTAACTCCAGGACTATCATAGCAAGCGTGTCCTCAAGGCTTTAGCACAGCAAGAAACACAACCATTCATTTCATTCAAACCCACAGATCTGCTGGCCCTCATTACAGTCTGAGACAAGTTGGCTCTGTTGTGGCTGAACTGGAAAAGTAGGTTATACATTTACTGACAGGAAGGAGAGTGGGTGTGGGGGACACACATGGGGGACAAAGTCACAAGAACTTCCCCATTTGTGTGTCTAGATCTTTATACTTTTCATTTGTAGCATAATGACTTCATCTTAAATTACACAAATGTGGTTCCAACTCAAATGGGTAATTCCTCCAAGGAGGGCTCCCAGACAGCTGATGATGTTCCTGTCTGTTCTGGCTCTGGGGCACAGTTCATGCTTCTACTAGAGGCTTGGACTTCGAGTGTGGTGATGTCTTCATCCCATAGGGTGCGGGAGGACAGACAGTGACTTATGTGCCTCATGTTCCAATCATTCAGGACAACCTATAAGCTGCATATTTCACCAACAGCCTTATGAAGAAACCTCTATGGTGGACTGATGGCCTCGGGTATGACAAAGATGCTTCCATCCCGTTAACCACATCCTGACAGCTGCTAGGCTTCCAAACCTGATGGTTAACCTCCTGGTGATTCCTACACTCTAGAGTGGATGCTACTGGGCAAGGTGGTGACAGCTCTACCTGCCAGATGGAGAGTCCATCTCCATGTTCCCCATGCCACTGCACAGTCTTATGGCTCTGGCCATAAGGACTGTCATTGTACCAGAAAATATGCCTGCAAGGCACTTAGCACTGTGTTTGGCACAGGTGGCTCCAGATGACAATACTGTCATCTCTACCACCCATGACCTCAGACCTCATAGGTGGACATCCCCCTTCAAGCGGTCCTTAGGGGGCCTCCCCAACTTCATTCAATTCATTCTGTACTTACTGAGCCCCAGCAGAGGACAGAAACTAAAAAGTGACAAAGGAAAGGAAGTGTCAGGTAAGGGAGTGTCCTGCAGTCATTAAATATCATCTCTATGATAAAAATGTCCACTAAAAATATCAAGTAGAAAATAATATTAGAAACTGTGTATGTCCTCTTAGAAATTCTACTCAAAATTCCGACACTGGTGGCTGGTAGGACAGTGGGTTATTTCTTTCCTTCTACTCATCTCATTTTGTGTTGCTGTCCCGATATTCTAGAATATGAATTAATTTTATAATTTGGAAAGACTTTACTTTTAAAAACTGGTAAACAGAAAAGTGGGAAATTGAATCTTAAAGTATTAAAAATAATTAGCAATGACAAATGACTACATCATAATTCATAACCCATCGGTATCAATGAGGGTAGTGAACACATCTGCACTGTGTCTGAGGCACCATGACGTTCCGAGGGTGCCCCAAATATCAGTATCCTCTTACTCAGAGCTATAGATTTTAGTAAGTGTTCCCTGTGCATTTAAACTGAATTCCATCAGTGCCTCAGATGGAAGCCTCAATGCTGATCGTCATGCAGACAAGCCTCTGATCATTCAGTTGCCTCCCCGTCAGTGCTTCAGGCCTGGCTTCTCTGTGGGAGCCTTTTGCACACTGACACAGCTGCTGGAGGTCCCACCAGCATCTCGCAACCAAACCCTCGCAGACCGGCCACTGGCCAATGCCACCCCATCCTGCCACTGCCTTTTTTTTGGAGGGGAGAGGTGGTGTTTAGCCCCCTGCCCTGGTCAGTTGTTTGCTTTCACCTCTCTTTCAGCTACACCAAGTCCTGGGCTTGCTCCAGTTTCTTCTCGGTGTCTGGAGGGGGGCCTTTCTAAAAGGTACATCTGACTGGGCCGGCTGCCTCTTAGGAACCTTCAAAGGAACCAGTAGAGACAGTCTGGGTGCTTTCAATAGAGTCCAAAGTCATGCACCCATCCAGCTTCTAGACCTTCACTCTCAGGCCCTGTGTAACCGCTGCTTCCTCTCTGCACTTTGCTGCCTGTGGCTTGGTTCCCTTGCTCCTTTTCATCTACTCATTCCCCCTCTTCCAAGCCTCCCGCCAGCCTCTGTCCCAGAAGGAGTGGCACTGGACTCTGTGGCCTGCCTTCCCCATGGGGCTGCAAGCTACATAGGGACGAAGACAGTGTTATCTCCATGATACCCCCAAAGCAGAGCACTGTCCCTGGGACACACAGACTCTCATTTGTGGAAATGAAAGCAGTAACATTAAAATGCTAATTACCACTAAAGAATAATGTACCTTGTAGACAGAGAGCAGCTAATTCCACAGCTGTTTCATAGGGGCATTTCAATCTTGAAAGAAAAGAAATTAATTGTAAATATGAACTTTAATACTCATAACTTCACAAAATGTCATACATCATTTTTCAAAAGGTAGTGATATTTAGATAGTGATTTTTGTTCTTGGTGGTTTCTGTTTTTTTGCTGTCCACATTAAAGAACGCAAACAAGTTGACTTACACTACATATTTCCCAAAGTCAGTTCTCATCATATGGTAAAATCACCCAGGTATAGTTTATATTAACCCTGTGGGCAATTTTACTGAATTTGGCAAGACTGGGGATGTTTGGGAAATAGAGTGAAAGCCTCTTCTTGCTTAATTATTTTTAGACTTATTTTATCTTGAAATAGCATGTGCATCTTTCCAAGCTGTCTTAAATCTTTCTCAAAACCAGGTCATAGTGTTAAAAATAAACAGACAGACACAATATCGCATACTGCCAGGACAGCTGCACACAGTCAAGCATCCTAATAAGTGTAACCGAGACAAAGTCACAGAAGTGTATTACTACAAATCCAGGGATCTCGTTCAAACTTTCATATTACAAACACAGTTAGAAAAATAATAATGACAAACATCGGTACAGCACTTCATAGCTTCACATATACACATATTTCATGTATCTATTTGGTAAACCCCCAGGATAGATGTGGCTGGTGTTCTCCCATCCCCCATTTCAGAGATGAGGGATTGAATGTGAAAGCATCCAGCCCAATATCATCAAACTCGTAGGAGGTGGTGCTGAGACCAGAACACCATTCTGCTTTGAAGGGTGATCAATCAGGCTGAAGTACAAAAAAAACTGTAAAGTACTGTACAAATGCACAGTGTTGCCATTACTATTTTTCCAAACTGAAGACAATTATAATTATTAGATTTAAGAGGGCTTTAGTATGAGGAGCACAGTATGGAGAGAGTGATAAAAATAAACACGCGCTCACTCATAATATGCACACCAAAGATCTGTATTGCATGGATGAATAAGGCAAATGTATACACTGTACAATCTACTTGTTCTATGGTGTACGTCCCACTAAGATTTTCTTAGCACATATTCTACTGAGAGTTTGCAAATTCAGAAATCACATTTTAAATTTCCTTCAGATTATATTCAAAATCAAAGCACGTTCTTGTTGATAATATCTGGTGCAGTTCATTAGACTCAGTATAGTCTTAGTTTTTCATGTCAGAGAAAATATTCAATACACAGGTAGAGAAATGACACAACTGTACAAGTTAATACTGTTGAAATCTCTTATCTTTAAAATAAATACTGCACTCAAAATCAACCACTTCAGTGCCAATGCTTCTCCTGCTCCACAATCATTGTATAGTCTGAGGCCTAGTATTTTAAAAGCATTTTTAAGAGGGGGGAAAGGAAATGAGATGAGATGTCTAAACCTCTTTCTATCAGAATCAGAACATGCCCTCTTTACAATGTTACTTAAATGCAGATGGGGATGAATGAGGCTTTTTGACTACCCAAATTCTTGTAAGTGTATACATACTAATAAAGTATCTTGCAAATACGACAAAAGCCATTATGAATGGGGCAATGATGTGATCAGGGAAAGAATTATCCCCAATTCACATCACTTAAGATATTAAATGCTCTTGGAAATGCTTCAAGCCATAGAGTAATCATTTAAAATAAGATGATGATGACAGTGATACAAGTATTAGACTCACTTTACAATGCCTGGTGTACTTTTTTTGAATTTTGAAAAGGGAACAAGGGTTGGAGAGTTAAAAAAAACAACAGTGAATTATTTAGAAAGATACTATGATCTATTCTGGGATAGGAGTTAGAACAAAAACATACTTACTTTCCTGAAAGAATGTCATGCCTGAGTTGTAAAACAAACAGGTACCTGACAAACATATACAAAAGTCAACAGAGGATAATCTTTCCCGGCCACTTCCAATCCTCCAAGTCCCATCACAGAGCCCATCCACGCATGCCAACTAGAATTTTGCATTGTAAAAAGGGAGTCCAAATCAAATGAGAATTTTGGTGAAAGCATCTCTTCCTGAATCTACAGGAAGGATTCCAGGGCCTAGCTAGGAAGGTGAGTGTGTGTAGGGAATGTGCAAGATACTCGGAGGATGGAACATGGAACACTGCAAGGTCCAATGACAGGTCCCTTCATCCCCCTCCCCCCCAAAGAGCCAATCACGGCACACAGAGCTCAGCACACAGGCATGCAACATGTCCAATCAAACTGGCAGGGTGGAGACCTGGAACCTGGCCCTTAGCCAGTCCCACCAGCAGATTCCAGAAAGGTTGCAGTTGATTTTATCAAAATGTTTACAGCTGATCTTAGTTAGCAACTGCTTGAGGCTTCTTTTTTTTTTTTTTTTTTTTTTGAAGCAGTTTAACTGCAGACTCTGCCTTTTAAATAACAAAATGCACCCACATACACACACACAAGAAACAAAAATTCTGGAATTGGACTGTATCTTGTTATAGGGTAATAAAAATAGAGGGTGGGGAGGCAGCAAATAACATAAGCAGGAGGGGGGCGGTCGTGTAAGTAAAAAAAAAATTAAGTGTTCTGGCTTAAATAATGGTCTTTTACTAGGAGGTTATGGGGCACCAGAATCACTTGGAGTGCTCTTTACGAACCAAAGCTGCCCACGCTCCACTCCATGGCTACAGAATCAGAATCTGACGTGCAAGAGTGGGCCCAGGAATCTGATTTGTTCAAAAGTTTCCCAGGTGTTTTTGACTCACACAACTGTTAAGAGTCACTGGTTCTGAAGGTAGCTAGAAGCAGCATGTTTCATAAAGGACTCTGAAGAGGAACAGTGGTATAATTTGCTTGAACTTTGAAAACAATGCAGACAATCACTATGTGAAATGGATATAGGAGAATGTGGGTGCCTCAGAAATCAAATAGGGGGGAGAGCTAAAGGTTCTAGTACATGCCAGAAAGTTGCTGCTCCCTGACAGGTGCTTAACCACCACTGAATCCTACTTAGGAAATCAGGATACCATCTTGTGTACTCAACAATTTCCAATTCTTCCAGGAAAACCTAACTACAGAAGCCCAGCAAGAGGGGGGAAATGGTGATAATCAGTCAGTCTTTAAGTGTTATTGGTGGTCATCTCCAAGCTAGTGGGCACTACCAAGGACCTACATGTCACCAACCTCTACTGTCCATCACAGGTGACAGGGGGCATCTAGGGCATCAAAAACAGCAGCAGGCCAGGTGGAGAATCTCATTGATAGAAAATATGGCTGGAGGAAAACTCCAAGCTTAAAAGTTATTTAAGTCTCTTGTGCATCTACATTGTTTCTGAAGTCTCAGAGACAGACCTGGGCAGGCACACCATAAAAGAAACACAGTGGGGTTGAAAGGTAGCATGAAGGAATTCTAACAACTTTGATATTATAACAATCATGGGAACATTCTGCTGTCCCTTAAAATTTTTTAAAAAAAGATGGCAATTTCAAACTGAGGCACGCTCACCTAATACCTGCCTTCGCTCTTTGCAACAGGGCAAAACAAAGCGCCCCAAACACACAGCAGCTGATCAACTTATCTAAGGTCCACCAAGATAAAACCATGACAAGGAAATGAATCTTCTCAATTCTAGTCACTAAGACAAGGTCAAATTAAACAAAGTGTGGCTTTCCAACAGAACATAGAGATTAAGAATGAGCAAAGTGCTAATAACTCTCGCTACGAAATATAAAGACAACAGAGAGGAGAGGCAGATCCATAACTGAGAAGACCCGTACATTATGAGCCATACAAGTGCCACTAGGGGGATCTTGTTCTGCATTTTGTCCTACCTTGTAAACTCTTCACGCAGGTTGTTCGGTTCTGAAGAATAATATTTAACTCGAAAGTGCAAAGCATAAGCAGGTCCAGCTAAATATTTGGAGTTGGAAGGTTGAAGAGGTTTTTCCCCAGTTTTGAAGATCACGGAATGGATAAAAGGAAAAACATATTAAATCTATGAACTCAGTCCCCACTACAATGGGGGCACTGAGCTAGTAAATTCCTTTCAGTTCTAGTGTGGAAAACTGAAAAGCATTCTTTGCGTTGACAGAGATGATATGGCTAGTAACCTCATTCTGGGAGAAAACACTGATGATCCAGATGAATTACTAAGAGCTGATATTTTGCTTTCACCTGATTGCAGACTCCAGACTGATATGTTTTACAAAATACTATGTGGGCTTGAGGAAAGGGACACATAAACAGCAGTGTTCTGTAATCTAAAATCACCTTAAAATTTTTCCAGAGAATAAAACATTTTTTAAAATGATCCTTGCACAAACCACTTGAAGGGAATGTGGCTACCACTTGCAAAATATGAGCACAGGACCAGGCTGTCAGAGATCCCTCCTGCTCCCCCATTCTCCAACTCTGTAACTCTTTGGAAAGTGAATATAACAGGTGTAAAGTCAAGTTTCTGAATAGCATATTAATCAGTTCTCACTGGCAGGGGTGCCCCCATTTTCCACTGAGAGCGTAGTCTATTTTTTAATATCTACTAAAAACTCTTATTCAAATTTTAAACTCTAACATTTGGCCAGTCTTAACAAATTAAAAAATCATCCACTTAAAATGGAATCTATTTTTAAATACTCCCAAGTACAAAGAAATCCTAACACTTGAAAACATTGGCAAAAGAGTTTACTCTCTGATAAAAGAATTGAGGAGGGGAGATTTGGCTTACTTACTTTTCATCTGTTTTTTTATGGGTTTGGAATGATCCAGCCAGTGCTGAAAGAAAGAAAATGTTTCTTGAGAAATAGTTCATCAGCAAGATTATACATTTCCCCATAGTGATCCTCCAACACAAGTCTTAGTAACTCTACCCATAAAATCCAGCATCGGACCAGATCACGAGCTCTTAGGTTGGGGATTTGCTCACCGCTTAGGATGGCATGAGAAAATCTGTACTTCTAAAAAGAAGTGCATTTTTTCTGGGGAGAGGGCCCACAGTTTCCATTAGCTTTTGAGAGTGGTGCCTGAAAGAACTTGAAACCTTTTAACTACTTGATCTGTGAACTCCCTTGTAGTCAGTGCAGCCACCAACTGCCTTTTGCTTCTGACCTTCTCAGGTTACCATCAATCTTCTCCAATTATTTCAGGTCTCCCTTAACCTAGTGATGACTGCAAACCCCACCACCAAGAACCTCTAATCACACATGGATCTTGCGGTACTGTCTCCCTAAACTCTAACATACAACTAAAATTTGTAAACCCTTTATTCTTTTGCCAGGAAAATGGCCCACACTGAGGATGGAAAAACAGGCAGGCATTTGCCTAAGAAACTTTTGCTTTGGTTAAAGCAGGCATTTAACTTCCTCCAGAATTTTTTCACCAGAAGAGCCATTTCAGTCTTATCCATCCAAGGAAATTACAAAACCTTTTCCCTCACAGGAAAGTATCTCTATTATGTATTACAGTCCCGGGGAGCAGCTTAACTTCCATGGAAAACCACATTTAGGGATACAACACTGTGAGCCCCTCCATGCAAAATTAAGGCCCGGGAAGGCAGGGACCATGTAATTAATCACCAACTTGTTTCCCAAGTCCAGGACAGAGCATGGCATCCAGCAGGTCCTTATTATATTCTTGGGAAATAAATGTTAAAGATTTTTTTTAATGAGGCAAACAGAGACTTTTCCTGTCACTTTACATGAGTGCAATACACACTGAACTTCACTGTCACAATAACAGTTGGAATGACACAGCCAGAGTGGGCTTCTGACTAGCTATTCAGAATCAGAGGCCATTCTGTTGACTGTCAATATACTCTCAGAAGCAATCTAAACTCTGCACATTCTGATAATGAGAAAGGGCGGGACTAAATTAGTACCACCGTGTACTCTACACCTCACCAAAGAGCCCATTGTCACAGTGTAGGAGGAGGGGGATAAGGCAACACAAAAGCAAATAACGGATGAATTATAACACAATAAGCTATGAGCAGTGCAATGGGGGAACGTGGGCTTTTATCATCTGGCTCCCAGCTAAGCAACCATGTAATAAAAGCGGCAGATCCCTGAAGCAGGATGTGGATTTCAAAGGCACACGCACAGGATGCTTTATCTCATTGTTAATAGCTTTATATTGGAAATGACCTAAATGTCCATCAACAAAGACAGAAGGAAAAAAATGGCTCATCCATATAATGAAATACTATTCAGTCTTTAAAACAGATCTAGGCCTTTATTTATTGATGTTGCAAGAGATCTGCCACACAATGTTAGATTAAAAAAAAACAAGCAGGTAAGATCTTATTTATATGAAATTATTTTCTATTAAGATGTGCCCAGAAAGACTTACTGAAGTTATTTCTGGGTGTGGACCTATGAATGCCATTTACTTTCTAAAAAACTTTTCTGCTAATATTTTATTTTTAATGAGAATATTATTTTCAAGGGCGTGGGCAGGGTTGTCATTTCTATTACATAATTCATTCATTATTGCCTATCAGGCAGTTTTTAATGATCAGCTTGCCTCATTAGAATTAGATATCCCCGCAGCTCTTAACCAAGTTAAACCCCCTGCCCACTCCCCCTATCACCTTTGCCCCCAGGAGGACAGATGCAGACTGATAAAAGCATAGTATTTACTTTCCTGCCAAAGCTAAGCATCATGCCAATTGCTGTGACTAAACCTGTCTTTGCTCACTTTCAAATGAATTCACCATTACCAGAAAGTTCTCCCGCAACCAGCCTTTTCTAATCTCTTTAGCCCCAGAGGCTCAGAGCTTAAAGAAGCTTGTCCCATTTCTTTCCTTTCCCAAGTCTCCTTATATTTGGACTAGGACAAATTTAAGTCCACCTTCCCACTGTCAAACTCTAATCCTGATCCAGGTCCAGCTGGTGCTGTGTGCAGCTGTGGTTTCTGACCCTGACTGTGCACTGCAATCACGATTACTCAAGACCCATGAAACAGCATCTCGGCACGTGAGTGTTGCTTAAAGCCTACATCCATTAAATATTTACTGCTGAAGCTTTCCACATCCTCTCCTACCCAGGAACCTGTCCTAATGATCTTAGGGAGCTTGAAACATTCATGACCCCTTGTAAAAACTGCTGTTGGACCTCTATAAAATCTCAAGCAATTTCAGGCTTTACTGGCCAAATGTCTATGGCTGGAGTTAACTCACAGTCAGAGCACAGCTAGACACTCCCACAGCAGACTGATTTTCCCTGTGGAGACACTGGTAGAAGTCACCCCCTCCCCCTGTCCCATTCCTGCAGGTTGGTCTCTGTCCTGCCCTGCCCAAAGCAGGACCTGCCAGGGTAAAGGCCTGTGAAACATCTGGCCCTGGCTAAGCCAAGAAAGGACTCAGAAATGGCTCATTTTAAAGCTCCTTGACAACATGGGGCTCAGATTAGGTTTGCCTGCCTGCATCTGAGGCGATAAGAAACCCAATCACAATATTAAAACAAGAGATGATAAAACCTATCATTTATCCACTAGTTGAAAATGACCTGACTTTCTTCTTAGCTGCAGGAGCTGACCGGACTCTGACGACTGGTATTTTCTCCTGTAAGACCACCTTGGAACTTGGAGGCCCCAGCCCTAAGGCCTAACGTAGAATTTAGTGAATCATATCCTGCACCCTGCTTAAAGGATTCAGCAGCTGCTGGACCCGGCTCCACTGTTCATCAGCATCCTGGCTAAATATAGCCACGTCTCCAGTTGCTCTAGCTCTTGCTCTCAACAGACAATTAAACCGGTCGCTGAATGCAGACAGGTGTGTTTCCGAGTTCAGAGGGCAAGACACTTAATTCGAATACTCTAATGGGCATTAGAAAAGTGGTTTCTGATCTGAATTTCTTGTCCAAGTTCATCTGGAAAACCCTTCCCATAAATCAAGATATGAGATGACTTGGCAAGGCCCATCTTTTCTAATTATACATTAGTTTTGGACCTATGACACACGTAAGCTGGTTGTAGAATTTAATTGTCTAATATCTACTCGGAAACATTTGAACCACAACAGCAAAGAGAAGCACAGGGGCTGAAGAGGGTCTAAAGACTCTTTGCCTGAACAACCCCTGGGCCCTCACTACCAAGTCTGAGTGGTGGAGCTTAACTGGCTTCCCCCATGCCTGTACATTTTCTTGGCTTATGAATAAGTGTCTATTTCATTTAAGTTAGAGCTGGAAGAAATCTAAAGGTTAATTGTGCACAAAAAATGAAAAGAAAAGGTGGGGAATGAACACTTTGGAAGCTTACTATGTGTGCCACTGTGTTTATAATAAGAAATATGTATTTGATTTTTGTCCCTTTCCTGGCACAGAGCTCCTAAAACCCTAAATTTCCTAAGTCATGAGGGCAATACATGTTCCCTGGAATTCATAACAAACTCCTTTCAACCACACCCAATTTTAGGTTAATGAGGTGACTTTTGGAAAGCACTTAAGGATGGGGATTGGTGGCCAGCAGGGAAGCCCAACAAGTGATTAGAAAGTTAGAGCCCAACAACTGATTAGAAAGTGGGGGAAGGGAGGCATGGAGGTGGAACCAATCACCAATACCGATGATTTAATCAGTTGCATCTATGTGAGGAAAGCACCATAAAAATTCAAAAGTACACGGTTCAGAGAACTTCTAGCGTGGAGAACATGTGAAGACATGGGGAGAAGAACTCAGGGAGAACCCAGAAGCTCTGTACCCCTCCAGCCCCACCACACATTTTGCCTGCGCCTCTCTTCTATCTGGCTGTTCCTGAGTTAAATCCTTTTATAAGAAACTGGTGATCTAGTAAGTTAAATCTTCCTAGCACGTTAACCAAAGCCCATCTATAGTCCATGGGTCTGAATCACAGGCGTAGCCTGGACTTGTGATGGGCACCTGAACCAAGGGGCAGGCAGTCCTACAGGACTGAGCCCTTAACCCATGGTATTAGGCGCTAACTCTAGGTAGCGAGTGTCTAAATTAATTGCTTGGGGGTACTGGGAAAAACACACAGTGGACTGTGTTGCAACTCTCCCTTTTTTGGGCCTCCAAACAGATGAGGTGGCTGTGAGAGGGCCCGCGAGGTGCCCAGGACTATGGCACTAGTAAGAGGCAGAGGTGAGATTCACTCAGGCTGGAATGTGTCTCCTGCTCTAGGTCTCCAGGCCCCATGTTGTCTTATGTAACTTCTTCACCCACAGGAGGGGTCTTTCTGCCTCCTCATTCAAAATGAAGCCCTGGAAACTCATTTACACCAGCTCCTTGAGGTTCTCTTGGGGTTCCTCTATAGTAATGGCACAGACCCCTTTATCAGCTTCTCAAACAGCACCAATATTTGCACACTGGCAGGAAAACACTTGCTCTCTCACTGACAACATTCAGAATCAGCCTGCAGGGCATCCTGCAGCATTTCTTGAGGCTTTTTACAGATCTTTGTGCTAAAATGGAAGGAGGCAGAAAGTCAGAGTCCACACATCCCAAGTCCAGCCGCTCCCCTGGAGTGCGGTCACGAGAAGGCTCCCCCTTCTGCACTTGGCTTCCTTATCTGTGTCTGAGCTATCTGCAGCCACTGTCTGAAGAACTGACTTGAGTCCACAGAAACTGGAATGAACCATTCAAAGGGAGAGAAGGTGGTTTTTAAAAATGTCCTCTTACAATCACATAACTTGCTCCCAGCTCTCTACTCCCCCTCCAGGTATCTGCAAAGGGTGAGGACACACTGCAGCGTCTACACAGGTGGCAAGTGGGATGATATTTCCACCAATCATCAGAGTGAAGCCAATGGAGCTGCAATAGCA